CAAACAAACAAAAAAAAAACAAGGGGGTGCCTGTAGCTCAGTGGTTAGGTTGCCAGCCACATGCACCAGGGCTGGTGGGTTTAAACCTGGCCCAAGCCTGCTAAACAAAAACAAGACAAAAAAATAGCCAGGCATTGTGGTGGGCCCCTGTAGGCCCAGCTAGTTGGGAGGCTGAAGCAAGAGAATCACTTGTCCCCAAGAGTTTGAGCTTGCTGTAAGCTATGAGAACACAGCACTCTACAGAGGGCAACAAAGTGAGACTGCCTCAAACAAACAAACAAATAAACGAACAAAAAAATCTCCCTAACTTTCCCCAAGAACCTCCCCTCCATGTATATCACTAGGACCACAGCAATCTGTCTTTTTTTTTTTTTTTTTTTTTGAGACAGAGCCTCAAGCTGTTCCCCTGGGCAGAGTGCCGTGGCATTACAGCTCACAGCAACCTCCAACTCCTGGGCTCAAGTGAGTCTCTTGCCTCAGCCTCCCAAGTAATTGGGACCACAGGCGCCCGCCACAACTCCCGGCTATTTTTTGGTTGCAGCCGTCATTGTTGTTTGGCGGGTCCGGGCTGGGGATTCGAACCCGCCACCTTAGGTGTACATGGCTGGCGCCTTAGCCGGTTGAGCTATAGGTGCCAAGCCAGCAATCTGTCTTAATCCATAGCATGAAAGATGGTGTTTCTCTCCTTATTTGGGGAATCGCTTAACACTTAGTTTTAGCAAAGTTCTCCATTATCTCTCTTCCATCATTTTGCCAAAGCAGCATTTCACTTCATACCAAATGGCACAAGCTCCCCAAATGGCCCAGCCTCCACATGCAGTTCTCTAGGGAAAAAAGGCACCATATAAAGCACTTACTTCTGCTGCGGGAGGTCAGTCTTTCCATTCCCCTAACTAAGTAATCTGTCGTCAACATTTGGACAGCGAGTGCATCAGAACACAGTAGCAGGCACATGTTGCTCAGCAGCCTAGAAATATATACCCAGAACTGCCAGTTTCCAAGTGTGCTGGCTCTGCAGCCTCATGAAGAAAGGAGGAAGGCAAGGAGACTTCTCCAAAGAACAGACATAATACAAAATATCATTTGAAAAAGAACATCTCTGTCAGCAGTTACCACCTAGCAACAAGTCCTTCCTGAATGTGCTCCATGGTATTACTTCAATATAGCAGCATGAAACACAGCTCCACAATTTCAAGGACACTGTAGTCTAAAACTTCTAACAAGTTGGACAGTAAAAAGAAGCTGTTTGATTTACGAAGTGGGTCAACCAAAAGGAGCAATGTGAAAGGAAAGCAGTCAGCCTGGGGTCTGCCCCTCCTTGTCCCATCTACTTCCGCTGATATTTATCTTTTGTGAGAAGCCAAGAGTCAGAAGATTCTTCTGGAATATAAACAAGCTTGGACACAAAGAAGGTTTAAAACAAGAGGCCCAAATTTTCTCTTGGATGGTCCTAACTTTACTTCAAAGGCATCACTCATATGAAGGCTTCTAGAACCCTATTTACTACTAGACAACATCTGATTCCAAAAACATCTCAGAAAGGAAATATTCTTAATGTATATGTAAAAGAGGGAAGGGCAAGAGGAAGCCTAAGAATAAACTTACATTTATTCAATACTTTCTCTAGGCTCGGCGCCTATAGCTCAACCGGCTAAGGCGCCAGCCACGTACACCTAAGGTGGCGGGTTCGAATCCCCAGCCCGGACCCGCCAAACAACAATGACAGCTGCAACCAAAAAATAGCCAGGCGTTGTGGCGGGCGCCTGTGGTCCCAGCTACTTGGGAGGCTGAGGCAGGAGACTCGCTTGAGCCCAGGAGTTGGAGGTTGCTGTGAGCTGTAATGCCATGGCACTCTACCCAGGGGGACAGCTTGAGGCTCTGTCTCAAAAAAAAAAAAAAAAAAAAACTTTCTCTAAGCAAGTATCACGATGCTAAGAGCTTTCACTTGTTATAATACACACTTATTCAACAAACATTCGAGCCCCCACTATGGATAAAAACACTGTTATGGGTACTGGGAATTTCACTGAACTTACATTTTTGTTGGTGTTGACAGAAATAAATATATATGCCAGCTGGTGATGAATACTATAAAGAAAGATAAAGCAGACTAAGGGAAGGCTACATAAAATTTTATATGAAAATAAAGCAAGGGAGGGAGTGCTATTTTAGACAGAGTTGTTCAAGAAGCCTTCTCTGATTGCAATTTGATAAAAATAACCACAATAAGGACTACCACATATATTATCATTATTTGCTCAAAACTGGATTAAGCATTTACTGTGCAGTATTTCATTTAATCCTCACCAACTCTGATTTTACTACTATTACCACACCCACTAAACAGGAGAAAATGGAGCTTAAGAGAGGTAAGACTTCTCTTGGCAGAATGTACAGTAAGGGGAGCAAGGCCAAGGCTATAACTAAGTGAGGAAGCCAGAATTTGAACTCAGGAATACAACTCGAAACCCCATGCTGCTTCTTGCCATGCCATACTACTATGCTAATAGAGAAAAAGAGCCTCAAAGAGGTCAAGTGTGGTTGTGGTCACAAAGTGGGGAGGTCCACTGGCCTCCCCATATGTGGCTAAGAGAATGAAACAATTCAGTCTTCCCTTATATCAGTCTATTACTCTAATCAGCAGCTGAAAAACCAAGCCTTATCTTAAAACAAGAGCAGAAAGGCACTCTGGACTCTTTAAGGTCAACTAATAAATGCTGAATATGTTCTTCTCTCTTCCCCCTCCCCAGCCCCCAACACAAGATGGTTTAGTTGAGAGACATCATTTGTCACTGGAAAACAGAAACAAAAGATGACTGAACTAGAACTAGAGTGCCACAGTTGCCCTCTGAGGTGGAGTGGAGGGGACAACAGGAGAAAAGGTCGGCAGCAAGGAGAAAACAGAAAGTAGGCCCTCTCTAGGCCATTTCAAAGAAAGTACAGGTCTATAGGTCTTCCTCAAGCCCTGGACTACTGAGTGGCAGCAGGGAACACAGAATATCCTTAAAGAGCATAAGGCAGGACAGACAGAGGTACTGGGAGCAGGTCACCCAGCTTCCTGAGCAGAGGAAGAGGAGAATAAGGGAGGAGGCAATTGAAGGAAGCTAACACTGCTTCACGTCCAGAAGGGAGACACTATACCACAAGGTCAGAAGGTGTTTGCAGAATTACTGGAAATCTCATGTTGAAAGTATAGGACAAACTACCAGAAGAGGCTAAAAGAAAAGAGAAGCCCCAGCAGAGTCCCACAAGGTTTAAAACAAAGGTCATGGTTTGGACCCACCCATTTTTTTATTATATTTCAGTCAACACAGCCACAGAAACCTGTAGCCAAAGTTAATCAACAACTAAGATAAGACAGAAAAGTGGGGGTTCATCCTCATCTTAAGGGTGGAGCACATTAAGAGACTTTTACTCAGAGTATAGATTTCCATCTTATATCCCGACTGACTTGAGCATCTCAGTTTAAACCTAGCTAAACTGATCTTAAGAATCTCCCTCCCTAAAGCCTCCAGACTTTCTCCTCATCGATACACACACAGAGAAATTCAATGCTTTCTCTCCCCCACACCCCCACCCCGCCTCCCAGCCTCTTATCTCCAGCAAGTCAGGTCTCATAGCCCAACATTGCACCAAACAAATTATGACCTGAATGGCAAGAAAAAACTGTGTCACCTAGAGAAACCCAATTAACAACATGACTCTGCTCTCTTCAATTCCCCTGGAGGGGAGCCTCCAGTCTTATCCTATCCGGGGCACCTGTGTGGCTGACCGCCTTTTCCCGCAACTGGCCATGTTCCCTGGCTAACTCAAAAGCCAGAAGACAATTTGAACAGAGGCCTCCAAAGAGAGTGACCTACACACGGGAAATCCTGCTCTCCCCACACCCGGGCCTGTTGAGAGCTAGAAAGGGCACAGGATCAAAACACTACCTGGGTGATGGTTTAGAGTGTTCACCTTGAAATCAGTAAGTTGCTCCTAAAGCCAACCAAAGCTCCCTGCTGAAGAAAAACACACAAATGCTGCTGAAAGCTCCCAAACCAGAGCATGTAAGTGCCCCACAAGGGACAATAAATGCGTATTTCGAAGAAATTCCTCGCAACTCCTTTCCTAATTTGTCCCTCTCCTGAGAGATCTCCATTGTTTCCACCCCTCAGCGAACATACAAATACCCACCCACTGCTTTTCCAAACCTCCAGCCTGACCACATGCAGTATGTGCTTTTTGTGTGTGCATATATAAACATCCGCTTCCCAGCGCGGGCTAGGGCTAGAGTTCCAAAAAGAATAAATGCTTCCCCTTCTCCCCACACCGTACTTGTCTGCCCCACAATGCTGCAAAGTTGGCAATGTAATATTCAGGGACCCTGAGACCGGAAATGCCAGGTTCTGGACTGCTGCACTTGAAACTGGAGAGAAGAGACAGGGAAAACTGAACGTGGGGTTGATGGCAGGAGGTGTGGGGTGGGGCGGGGAGGCTGAAATTCCGACCAGAGAAGGGATACAATTCAAGGGTAGGCGAGGAAGAGAAAGAGGGATGAGGGGGAGGCGTCAAGACAGTTGCAAAGTCAAAATTCCCGGAGCAAAGAAAGAGGGGGAGGCCGGAGATGTAAGGGCAAAGGTGGAAAGAGGGCCAAGAGGCGGTGAGAGGCCACAGTAAAGATTCTGCAGGTGATAAGGGGGGCTAAGTTGAACCTCAAACACGTTGGAGAGGGGTTCCAAACCCCACAATAAAGGCATGGATGGCAGGGAAGTGTGGGGGCGGGGCACCACAGGGTGGGGACAGAACTGGTTCTCAGAATCTGCAGTGAGTGGTGAGAAGGGGAGCAGAGGGCGGGCGCTCAGCAGCGGCGCGAGCCCGGTTAAGAGGAATGGGTTGCCGAGGGGAACCAAGCTGGTGGAGGGGGCGCCCAGGGAGCACGTGAGGCGTGCAGCCATCCTGCTCCCTCCCTTGTGGCGGGGACAGGAACCTGAGCTAAGCTGGGGGGGCGGCACTCTCACCCGCAGGGCGGACAGGTCGATGTCGTCCAGGCTGCGGGCGGGGGCTGGGTCGCCCATGGCCTCCGCGGGGAACGGAGCCCCGGGGCCGCTCACGCTCCGGCTCGATTACTCCACTGTCGCCGTCGCTGCTTCTCCCCCATCTGGGGGCCCTGGGGGGGACTCCACCGCGCCTCCCCCGGAGACCGGGGAGGGGAGGGCCGGCGGAAGGACCGACCCACCGACTGACAGGAGCTATATCGCCCCAGAGCCTGCAACCCGAGCCTACCGACTCTCCTACGCAGGCGCGGAGCGACGGCGCCCAGGGAGGGTGGAAGAGCGAACGTGACGCGAGCGCGTCGGGTCCCCCTCCCCCTAGGCGGCGACACCTGCGCGCAGGCGCAGCACAGACGGCGAAAGGCGCGCGCAAGGACTGAGCCGCCGCGCGAGCCTGGCGTGAAAGAAGTGGGCGGCGGCCGAAGTGGCCGCGGAGCGCGCCCACCAGCTGGCGCGTGCGCATACGCGTTTCCTTCCCGGTCCCTGCTTTTTGCCCCTTCTCTCCCGTTTCCTTCTTGGATCTCCTTTGACGCCTTTCTTCCCTTTCTGTCCTTTTTTCCGTGTGCCCAGCTGCCAGTCAAGCCACCCACCTCTCTATTTGCGGGGGAAGGGAGGCGGGACCCAACCCCCTCTATTACTAGGGGGGTTGTTATGGTAACTCCCCACGCGAGGACTGGGTGGCCTCTAGATAGGATGGGCTGTCCACCCACCCAGTTGCCATGGCAACAGTGGAACCGCTGAAGGAGGGGCCTCTCTGTGAAAACTTGGCTGGAGAAACCACGTGGGAGTTGGGAGGTGGAGAGGGGGGCACTGACTGTCTCAGGAATGCCCTTTACTCCCTTCCCTAGCTGGAATGGGGAGTATTGAAGAAGGGATCTGAGATCTCAGGATAGCGAATCCCACTGCAGAGCTGCATCAGTGCACCTCTCTGTTAACAAAGTGTTCTGCAGCAAAGGAACTGTTTTTAACAATCATTCGTTGACCGATTCCTGGAGTGGCACGTGGGGGAAGGGGTAACAGAGGGAAAGAGGAGAAATCTGTGTTCAATCCCTTCAAGTCTTGCTTGGGTCACCTTAGATCTAGTCGTATTGGCACAGCACCCCCAGCTATTAGCCTCAGTAATGCTATGTAAGAACAAGGAGTTATTCTGCCCCTGGCATGCTGTTTGACCTTGAGCAAGTTGCTTCGCGTCCCTGCGTTTTTCTTTTACTGTGAAGTTGAGGAGGAATGCTGCGTGATCCTCAAGATCTCTTCCAGTACCAACAGTATCTTTGAAAAAACTCCCACCCTATAACTGAAAGTTAGAGTCCTTGTCCAACAGCCAAATAAACACAACGCAGCCTGAGGAGCACAAGTGGTTTGAGGGGACGGAAAGGAAAGGAAAGAGAAGTTTATTAATTTTCCAGCAAATAAGGAGGATAGTGGACTCTTGTCTTCCATTGTCTTAACTATAAGCAGAAATACAGAGTGTTCAAAGAGGGTTTTCAGCTTCGGGCTTTTGCTAGACTCTATAAAACAGTTTAGATGCTCTAAACCTTAGCGCATCTTCAGTGAAGCCATCCTTACCTGGGTGAAGACGACCTCATGACCTCTACTATCTCCTGTGGTACAAAAAACAAAGAACACTCCCCTTCCCCTTGGATTACTGACCTCAGGCAGGAATGAAGATTTTAATTCCCAAAAAAGGGTGAGGGATTTTTTAAAGAGACAGCTCATAGGCTAGGTGTGGTGGTTCACACATGTAATCCTAGCACTCTGGGAGGCCAAGGCAGATGGATTGCTTGAGCTCAGGAGTTAAGAGACCACCTGAGTTAAGAGCAAGACCCCCATCTCTACTAAAAATAAAAAAAATGGAAATAGAAAAATTAGCCAGGCATTGTGATGGACACATGTAGTCTCAGCTACTGTTTGAGGTTGCTGTGAGCTCCAGGGTACTCTAGAGTGGGGAGGCAGAATGAGATTGCCTGGGCTTGTATGATCCTCAAGTCCACTACCCTTCTCATTTGCTGGAAAATTAGGAGAGCTGAACACTCTCCTACTGGACCTTCTTAGCATCTGAATGCACATTCAATCTTGTTCTCCTCCTCCCCCCACCCCAGCCCATTTTCCTCGCCATTGTCCTTTCCAAGCTACAATCCCCATTTACCTCCATTAGAATATCCTACTTGGTCTCCCTGCCCAACACCCTCAAGTCAATTGTTCATAAGAGTGATTTTGATTTTTCCAAGAAATTTAATTTGATATCACTGTCTTGTGTAAGACTCTTTGTTGGCCAGGTGCAGAGGCTCATACCTGTAATCTCTGCACTCTGAGAGGATGACGCGAGGGTCGGGGGTTGGGGGGGACAAATGGAGACTCAGTCTCAGTCTCAAAAAAATAAAAAATAAAAAAACTCTTTGTTGGCTCCCACTGTCTTCTGATTAAAGTATAGTAGCAAAAACCTTTCAAGATTCTACCAACTTTTCTTGTCTTATTTTTTCTTTTCTGCCTTATTTTTCCATACTCCACTATTTAACTTCTTTCAGCATACTGAAATACTCTGGTTGCAGTACCCAGATCAATATTCTCTCCCCCAGCCTTTGCACTTTCTGTTTTTTCTCTCTGGCATATTCCCTAGCCTCTCAGCTACACCCGTGCTCATTGTCCTTTGCTTTGTCCTTTGTCCTTTGCTAGGTCTAAAAATCTACTGTAAAGCCTTCCTTAACCCACCAAGACTGAGTTGTCTCTTCTGTTTCAGCTGCCTGGCTTTTCCCATATTAATATTTAACACTGTGAATTATAAATGTCTGTTGAATCGCCTTAAACGCAGGAATGATGTCAGTCTTGTTCAACATAGGGCCTGACACCTACTAAAAGATCAGTTAATGAAGGCATCTGCTGTCTGGGTAGACACTGTAGTAGCTCAAGGTCAAGATGTTGGGAGAGTAGGAAAAGCACAGAATTTGAAATTAGTGCTCCAGGCATATCATTAACCTCTCTGAGGCTCAATTTTATCATCTGTAAAGTGGAGATAATAGAGAGGTTAGGATAAAATAAAATTATGTATGTAAAGCACTTGGCATAAACTTGGTCCTCAATAAATGTACTAAGCTTGATTTGTAGAATGTTTACTAGATAGATACTAAATAATTGAATGAGCAGATCAAGATCATGAAGATGGGATAAATGACCACCCCAGCTCTAAGAGACAATGTAATCACAGGTTGGTAAGGACAGAGAACAAGAGTGGCCCTATGCTGATAATTATTGAAGCTAGAGTATGGATACGTGGATATACCTGGATATGTGAGGGTTTATTCTCTACTTTCATATGTATTTAAGGTTGTCCACCAGCCTCAGACAGAGCAAGACCCCATGTCTAAAAATAGCTGGGCGTTGCAGTGGGCACCTGTAGTTCCAGGTAGTCAAGAGGCTGACACAGAAGGATCACTTGAATCCAAGAATTTGAAGTTGCTATGAGCTATGATGTCACAGCACTCTACCAGGGACAACAAAGTGAGACTCTGTCTAAAATGAATAAATACGCCAGACACATACACAGGGGCTAGTGGGTTGGAACCAGTTAGAACCCAGCCTGGGCCTGCCAAACAAAAACACAGCTGGGTGTTGTGGCAGGTGCCTGTAGTCCCAGCTGTTTGGGAGGCTGAGGCAAGAGAATCACTTAAGCCCAAGAGTTCAAGGGACTGTGAGCTGTGACACCACGGCAGTCTACCGAGGGTGACATAATGCAACTCTGTCTCAAAATAAATAAATAAATAGAGGCTGGGTGTGGTGGTTGGTGCCAGTGATCCTAGCACTCTGGGAGGCTGAAGTGGGTGGATTGCCTGAGCTGACAAGTTCAAGACCAGCCTGAGCCGGATTGAGACCCCCATCTCTGAAAATAGCCTGGTGTTATGGTGGGCACCTGTAGTCCCAGCTACTTGGGAAGCTGAGGCAAGAGAATCACTTAAGAGTTAGAGAATTAGGTGGCGCCTTTGCTCAAGCGGCTAGGGCACCAGCCACATACACCATAGCTGGCAGCTTTGAATACAGTGTGGGCCTGCCAAACAATGACAACTATAACCAAAAAATAGCTGGGCATTGTGGCAGGTGCCTGTAGTCCCAGCTAACTTAGGAGGCTAAGACAAGAGAATTGCTTAATCCCAAGAGTTTGAGGTTGCTGTGACTGTGACGCCACAGCACCCTACCAAGGCGATAGCTTGAGGGTCTGTCTCAAAAAAAAAAAAGAGAGAGAGAGAGAGAGAGAAGAGAATTAGGGAATCTCTAATTACAAGAGTTTGAGTTTGCTATGAGCTGTGACTCCATGAGCGCTCCACCCAGGGTGACGAAGTAAGACTCTGTCTGGAAAAAAAAAAAAAAAGAAAAACTCCAGAACTAAGGAGGGGAAGGCAGATGGACAGTGTTGAGCGGAAACCCACCTACCCACTGGCCCAGCCTGGGGCACTGCTGCCTCTACCCTACTCCACAGTTAATGAGGTAATTGTACTCCCAGGGAAAGAGGCAGTTAGTGCTGATAATGAGGCTAATTAACTAAGTACCAATTAGTACCTAAAGACCAGTATATGTGGGAGGTGGGATTTCTTGCAGGAAGTAGCTTTTTTTTTTTTTTTTGACAGAGTGTCAGTATGTCACCCTTGGTATAGTGCCCTGGAATCACAGCTCACACCTCCCAAGTAGCTGGGACTACAGACCTGCCTGCCACAATGCCCAGCTATTTTTGTTGTTGTTGCAGTCGTCATTGTTGTTTAGCTGGCCCAGGACAGGTTTGAACCCACCAGCCTCAGTGTATGTGGCCAGCACCATAACCACGTGCTACAGGCACCAAGCCAGGACTGAGACTGGGCTTAGAGGAGATGGGGCAGGACAATTATCTCTTTTTGTTTTGTTTTGTTTTGTTTTGTTTTGTTTTTTTGAGACAAAGCCTCACTTTGTCGTACTCAGTAGAGTGCTATGGTGTCTCAGCTCACAGCAACCTCAAGTTCTTGGGCTCAAGGGATCCTTTTGCCTCAGCCTCCCAAGTAGCTGGGACTACAGACACCCGCCACAATGCCCAGCTATCTTTTTTAGAGATGAAGTCTTGCTCTCTCTGGCTCAGGCTGGTCTTGAACTCGTAAGCTCAGTCCATCCACCCACCTTGGCTTCCTAGAGTGCTAAGATTACAAGTGTAAGCCTCCGTGGCCTAATTATCTCTTTTTTCACATCATCACCCACTCAGCACAGCCCTCTTCCAGGAAGACTTCCTAAAGTTCTTACTTTATACTCATT